GCGCCCCCTGCTACTGCTCGATAATGAATTAACGTCTATTCAGTGCTGTCTCTCTTCCATTATTGTGAGCAGCAAATGCAATCGTTGCACTTCGAGTCGACGTAGCTCTGTAGTGTATTTGGAATGCTGTAGACGTTACAATGGAATTGCTTACATCCAGTGTATTGTGGATGTCAGTTGGTCACACGACTCGATCGTGGTCTGTCTGCAACACTTGACGCGAGCGTGGTCTGTCTGCAGCACTTCCTACTAGAGAGACTTCGCAAGTCAGTAGTAAGAGCATCTCCACCACATTCCAGTAAATCAAGCAAACCATGGATTTCGAAAAGAAATAAAAACCTACCTGACCCACACAGCAGTGGTGGGTCCTCTGGGCGACTTGGTCATTTGGTCGGTGGAGGACTTCATGCACACACTGTGACTGCGCTTCATCAGTGGAATGCCTTGCAAGTTATTTGTGGTAGATCGTCATACACGTATGTACCGCCCTCTCGAGGAGGAGGGGTTTGTACAGTAGTGTAGTAGTGTTTACAATAATGGGATCGCCCCCGTGTGATATTTTGTCGTTCTACACAGTCTAGTCGTTCCATCTTCAGCAAGGTCCTGCGTTGGTGTTGACGGAGCGTCGAATGTACGTGCGGCCGAGGTTTTCCGAGTGCATGGACCAAAACAGAACGGACGAATTGGAGTAGTAAATCGCCTGGCTCATACGAAGCCACGCATACCGTTGGAGGTCATACACGACTGGCTTGTCCACATTTACTTCGTCCAACCAGCGCTGGTAATCGTAGTAGTAGTCTTGGGGGGCACACGTTTTCCACTTTGAGTCGGCAGCGTTTACAATATCCCACACCAATTGCCCCGTCGCGTAATGCATCGGATGGTCGGGTTGTTCGCTTTGGGGGTCTTGGGCGTGAAACTTGACCGTCTTGATCCCATTGACTTCACTTGCATAGATAGCGGCAAGCACGGTTTTGAACGCGTTGCGATTTGCATACGGATTCGACGGGTCGTCCACGGGAGCGATGGGGCGCTGGTTGTTGACTAGCTCCATATACCCCGACTGCCCATCCACGCCGTACTCTGGGATGCGCAAAAAGTAGTGCACGACGTTGCCCACCGTGACCTTGGCCACCTTTCGATTGAGAACGGTCACGGTTTCTGTCTTGGGATTGGAATTGAACTTGCCGAGGTTGTCCACCCACGCCGTGGACACGGCCAGCGTCCCCCGCTCCCTCGCAATCCGCCACGAGTCGAGCGCGTCCTTGTCATCTCCCGCCGTCGTGTACACAAACACGACTTTAGTCGCGGCGTCGGCAATGCTGTAGTGGAACGTGTTGGACATGAACAGTTCGTGGTCGTCCTGGTGGGCCGTTGTGTAAATGTGCACTTTGGTCGGACTTGAAAACACGGGCAAGTTGGGCTTCACCGTGGCCACAAACGCACTCGTGAGCCACCCGGCGATGCTAGTCGATGAGCGCGCCGCCAGCGGACCAAACAACGCGCACGTGGTGGATGATCTAGTCGCCGCGGCGCAGACGCGGGACGTGGAGGAGGCTTGGCAGGCTGACACGCATGCCCTGTCGTCGGCCCCAGGCATCGCTGGGGGGAGAGCAAAGTCGACGGGGATGGCCTTCGCCACCGACAGCACCGGAGCCGACGGAGCTAGCGCCGCGCCTCGACGTAGCAGCGCCTTGGACGAAGAGCCAAGAAACTGGTGGCCCAGACAGATGCCGTAGTCCGACAAGTACGTGAAGAACGTTTCGCCGTGGGCCCCCACGAGCGCCGCACATTCGCCTAATGACGTCACAGACGTGAACGGCATGATGGTGTTGGTGCCCGCTTCCACGACCACCATCAGTTGTTCCGGCTCGGCGCCGTGTACTTGACGGGACAGAGTAGTGTTGAGGTTGTCCAGAAGCGTCGTGATGACCTGCGGCGCCGTAGGAAACCACTGGGCGCCTGCCACGTACGAGTACGAAATCGGGTCCACTCGAATGTCGGGGGAGGATGTGGCATCCACTACCTTCAACGTCGTCGCAGGGGGACTTCGGAAGGCTGCAAAGGCGTTCAAGCTCGGATCGAGGTTGACTTGGCGAGCGCCCGGGGCGAACTTGATGCAGCACCCAAACCTGGACACAACGTACAGCTGGCATTGGCTGTTTGCCGTGCACTTGGCACAGCACGCGTCAGGTGTGACGATGGACGGAGTGCACTCCAAGTCGTTGCCGAAGTAGTCGACGTTGGGCTCAACGGGGGCACATTGGGACGTTGATGCTTGTGCTACCCCAGTACTCACACCGACTTTCGTAATGCGAACCAGGGGGCCATACTTGAGGTAGCACGACCCGTGGGCAAAGGCAAACCCTGAGCAGCTGGGATTGGCATTGCAGATCGGACAGCAGGCGTTCGCAGAACTGGCAGAGGCAGTGACCAAGTCGTTGCCTTGAAAGTCGGTGTCGTTCTCGATAACCCCACACGACGACGTAGGTGCCATCGCGCCAGCACTCACGCCAACTTTAGATATGCGAGTTAAGGTGCCGTACTTGAGGTAGCACACTCCCCAGCCAAACGCAAACCCTGTGCAGCTGGGGTTGGCATCGCATATCGGACAACAGTCTTGAGCAGAACTAGCGGGGGCATTGGCCAAGTCGTTGCCTTGAAAGTCGGTGTCGTTCTCGATAACCCCACACGACGACGTAGGTGCCATCGCGCCAGCACTCACGCCAACTTTAGATATGCGAGTTAAGGTGCCGTACTTGAGGTAGCACACTCCCCAGCCAAACGCAAACCCTGTGCAGCTGGGGTTGGCATCGCATATCGGACAACAGTCTTGAGCAGAACTAGCGGGGGCATTGGCCAAGTCGTTGCCTTGAAAGTCGGTGTCGCTCTCGATAACCCCACACGACGCGGCATACACATACTGAACTGCCAAGGTAGCAATCGCTATGACCAGCGCTAGTGAATTAGTACGCAGCATCAACGCGCGTGTTTGAGAGTAGAAATTAGACTGAGCCAAATTGACGCGAGGTACTTTTATACCTTGTGACGTATCTTTTGCAACAACCTGGAACGAAATTTCATACAATTGCACGATCTGAAGTGAAACTTGAACTTTTCCCAAATACCGGTACTGTACAGTACAAGCTGGGTGTA